AAGACTAAAATAAGAAGAAACAACATTAGAAAATTTTAAAAATCAAGTAAAAAGTAAAAGACATACATATAAAGAAAAATTATTCAAAAACTTCAAAAACAAATCAATATATAAATCAGTATAAACAAATTGGAAGAACCACACTTAATCATGCCTTTTCTGTCAATTCCACGGGTGACTGGAATCTTCCTGGGTCCTGAGGACACAGCCAGACAAGGTAGGACTTAGACAGCCTTTGGCTTTGCCTTGCAGCGACCTCTGTAGGGTCAGAGCCAGAGGCAGCAGCCCCAGTTGGGGATAAATCCCGGAGGTGGTTACAGCCTGAACAAAAAAGGAACCACAAAGAGGTACAATCATATGACTTGCTAGAGATTGAACTTTACTCCATGAACTAAAACCTATACAATGTCTCAGAGGGTGTCTCATTTGTCGTCAGAAAACCTGAACTAGTTCTGACTTTTAAACATCTTTTTATAGTCAACCCCTTAGTCACTGATGTCCCTCCAAATGGTGCTACCTGCAACCAGCACACCTGAATATTCATCCCGAGCTCCACAATCACATTTCACCCACTTATATGTGTCAGCCACCCCATCCCAAGTCCTCCTTTGGATGATCTTGTATGTTTCTGTTTCCTTCTGTGTCCACTGACTTGCAATTCTTTCCTCTTCACAAGTGAACAAATTTGACGCCCTGCAGGTACTTCCTGAAACTTAACCCGCACCGTGTTATGCAGGTGCAAGCTCTACCGGTTGGTGGTGGGAGAAGACAATTATGTGCTACAGAATTAACAATATTAAGCAAAAACAAGTTTCCCTCCGTTAAAAATTTAACACTGTAGAAAAAACTTGAAGCGCTATAGGCAACTTCACATGAAAATAAACAGAACTGGATTTTGTATTCATATTGATACCATTATGTTTAAAATGAAATCTGAATGTATTCTGTTAAGGCTTATTAAAATATATACCTGTGATGAAGATTGTTTCTTAAAAAAAGAAATCCACTTGGGAATGTCTAAAATCTTCTTTTAATCTCTGTCTGGATGAAAAAGAAAAAAAAATGTAGATCATTGGGGAGTTCAACTTTTCACAATAGATGTCAGTGTTTGGGGGGCTTGAGATATTTGCCATGGTTGGGTATATTATGGGCTCGTTCAATGGGCATCGGGGGTTAGAGGTGTTCAGGGGTTTGGGGTTTTCAGGATGTGTTGGGGAACTTGGTGGAGACCGGAATGCATGGACAGGATAGTTAGGCCTCAATCATTCTCTGGGTGCTCAGGGAGCTCTGTGGGGCAACTCACTCTCTTTCTCGCCAGTGCCTGTCGGTGCTCCGTTGGGCTGCTGGGCTCAGTGGGGTCCTCGCAGACGGCCAGATACAGCTCTCAGGTTCAAGCAGCGCACATCCAAACTGCACAAGGACTTTGAAACTGCCACTAGAACATCTCTTTGGAGACAGGGAAGCATCCCAGAAGTGTCATAATTGAATTCTGCCCATCATGGCCTGCCATTGGTTGGCCCCCACTGTGGGCGGGGCTTAGCTTGGTCATAGGGAGTGGTTGACCCACCTTCCAAACACCAATAACCTCGTGCAAGTGTGGGTCCCTAGGGTGGCTGGGTCTATTACTTCCCACCTCTTATTTGTATTCCAGCAAGCCCACAGTGTCCCAATATTCTGGATATAAAGATTTTGTGACAGAAAAACCTGCTGGCCCAAGGAGGGTGGCTGGAAAGGAAAGTGCCCTAGGCATAGGGAGAAACCCTAGGCTGGCCCAGCTCGTCTATTCTTGCAGTTGGACAATTTTGTGATTGGGATGTTGCCACAGCTTTGTCCCAGTAACAAAGCCATGGAAATCAAGATCTTTGACACAAAATCAAGGTCCACAGAGGCCAATGCAAGGTTGTGTGCTGAGGCCCAAGTTGATAACAGAATGCTGGGGGTGATGTCTGGAGCTCAGAACCAAAAGGGAAAAGACAAATTTATGTGGATGGAGCATATTAGCGACTCCTGTCCTTCCCTATTCTATTCAAAATCAGAAAACCTAGGCCCAAAAGGAGGGAGCTCACCCTGAAGAGAAGCTGTGTGTATCAGTGCACTCTCTGTACCAACAGGGGGCAGCAGGCTGCTGCCCACCTGTGCCCATGCAGGTGCTTCTTCCACCCACTCTCTCCCTCTGTAGGGCAGGAGCCTCCTGCCTGCCCATGTCCTGGACCATGCTGAGACCTCTCTGCTCTGACCTCCCTCAGTGGAGGACCCTCTTCTAAGGCTACCTGCCTGCAACCAATGCAGCCCTCTCCCTGCAAACCTGTCCTTTCTGGGCAGCTCCTCCAGTCCACCTACACATATGCAAGTGTCCTTTCCTTTCCTGTCCCTTTTTCTAATAATTGAGTCTCTGTCTCCTGGAGAAACTGACAGCATGTTGCTGAAAGGGGAGATCTGCTGAAATTTTTCCCAAAGTAAACCCAAGGACCCCGAACACCAAACATGGCATCACTGTGATGGCATCTGGGGACCAACTCCACGACAATATGCTAGAGAAACAGTTAAAAGCATGAAGGCAGTGGGAAGATGCACCCCCTAGCGGTGTCCACAATGGGTGTGATGAGTATGAAACATGGGAACTTTTCCCATGGAGAAACACTGGTGGGGACACACTGAAATGGTAAGTTTAACTGTAACAGTTCTGCTTCTTAAAGATGAGCTATCTTGACAGTAATCTATTTGAATTCCACCCATACGAGTTATAACCAACCAAACACAAAAACTTCCAAAACCAAATAGGGGAGTGCCGGAGAGCAGCTCAAGCCATTGGGGTGACAAAGGTTCCTGGAGGAAATGACGGGATCATGAATATAAATGAGGGACTCAGACACTCATACAGTAGGCGCAAGTGTCGTCTGCTGCCGGTCTCAGCAGGACTTTCTTATTTTTGTGTTTTTAAGTGGTGGGATTGCATCAGCACATGCATTGAGTAAAAAAGAAAAAAAAAAACAACTATCACACATTCATAAGAACAGTTTGAAGTCTTTTGATCTTTAGCCAAGTCTATAACACTCATTATTTTGGAAGAAAAAAA